TCACCGCCTCGGGCCCCGGCCCCGCCCCTTTCCCCGTCGCCCGCCGGGCCCGAGCGCGAGGGGGGCGCCCTCCCCCGGAGACGGGTGAGCGGGGGACGACTACGCCTGTGTGCCGACTCTCTGCCTCTCGCTGCCTCACCCACCCCAGGCCCGCCTGCTCCTCCCGATCCGCTGCCATTTGTGGTGCCGATCATCAACCTCTGCTCTTTTTGTAGGTGCTACCTTCTCTGTTTCGGCCCTAGGCGTGCTGCCCCAAGACCAGGGCGCAAAGATGGAAAAGAGACCGGGTGAAATTCTCCCAAAAAAGAACCCGACGACTATTCCTACTTGCCTCCTCCCGTCAGAATATTTTCTGTGCTCCTGGGTTCTGATCCTTACCAGACCGTGATCCTAATCTTTTAGGATGGGCAGGAACCGCTCTCGTTGGCTTTCAACCGAAAACAGCAAGGGAAAGGTTATGGAAGTGTGGGACTCCTACGGAGAGAGGCAGGGTCTGAGAGGAGCTGAGCGTTCTTTTTTGCCTTGCGGGAACCAGGATATCTCTTGAAGCTGGTTGCAGCAAAGTTACAGGTGGGGAGGTTGGGGACGAGGATCCCAGCTGGCGTCAGCACGGGCAAGACCCATAGAATTTGACCCAGCCACCGAGGCCCTGGCAAGCCCTTCTCTCCTCTCCCCCACCCCGTGAGCCTCCAACCTTGAGCCTGTGAGCCGGTGGTCCAGCCCTGGGCGTCTGGAGAGCTGGGATCGTCAGGAGGAGGCTCATCCTCTAGCAACGCTCCTGTCCCGGGCTTTCCTGACCTGGCTCCCCAACGGCCTGGGTGACGTTCTGGTTCAGCCTCTCCGCAGGGGAATCAGAGACAAATAATGCCCGGTCCCAACTTTGGGTGGTACACACCAGCTGGCAGGCAGGATCCCAATCTCACTGCCTGGCAGAGTTCTCAGAGCAGGGTGCAGCCCCTCCTGAGCAAATGTGCCAGGGAAGAGCTCTAATTTCCTGTCCCAAGCCACTCCACCCTTTCACCCAATCTACTCTCTCTCGTTCCCTGTGCTAAAAAAAACTCCAAGACTCAGACACCTAGAGCCTATCGGTTAGATTAACATGGGCTAGCTCCTACAACCAGGAATCCTTGAACACTAGGTCACCAGGAGTGTGCTCCAAGGGACAACCAGTTTTACCATCAGTCCCTGCCAGATTGTTTTATCTGCCTGTCTGCACAGCCTAAGACAAAGCCAAGCCTGAATGCTATTTCTTTGGTTAGATGCAAACCAATGGGTTTGATCTGATGCTCCCCTTAAAGATTGGAGAGTGTCTGAACATTCACCGCCATTGACTAGGGGACAGTTTGAAGTAGGGTCAAACCCATGCCCTGTGTTTCCCGACTAGGATGGTAGTATAAGGCTGAAGCACAACCTAATTTCCCCAGGGCTCAGGGCATTCTCAAGGCTGAACTTAGTACAGCTTTTCCCCTCTGCTCTGTCAGTCTCCACAGGGTCTCAAGGTTCCTACTCAAGGGAGAGGCTTTCTAGAAGCTTCTACAATGTCAGTTGTTCACTCTCCCAGAACCGGGTGCACGCCAACCAATGGTGAGGAGGGAAGGAAAGAGGCAGAGACAAAGTGTCCACTCCCTACTTTGTTTCCTCCTGCCCCCTCCCGGGTGTTCTGCAGCTCAGAAACACTGGGGAGCGCAGGCTGGACTCCCTGTCGCTCCAGGTCAGTTGCAAAAGAAACCCTCCTCAGGTATTCTCACAGATAGACTTACCCAATGGCTTGCTGCTAAATGCACTCCTGAATGCATCCCCCATAGGGCTCTGGAAGAGCTACAGGCCCGCCAGTCTTTCCTCCATGTCTCAAATCTCTCAAAGAGGTCTCGGTATACCACCTCACACCCCTTTATAAGATGCCCAATATTCCCCAGATGTTCCAGCAATTCTAAAGAGGGCCTACCCTTCTCCAGACACAACTCCCCCCGCAGACAGCTCCCCATTTGCCTTCCCTTAAAAGCATCTTAAGCAAAACTTTGTCCCCCTCCGCTTGCCCCTCCAGCACCTGGGAGGCTGGGGTCAGTGGCAAAGATTGGGCTGTCCCGCCGGCTAAAACTCCCCCCTTTCTTCTCAGTCACCGACTTCCAACCTTCAGTGGGGCTCAGGCTTAACACCACGAGCCCTTACCGTGGCCTGCCCTGTCCAGACAATGCGGCAAGAGGTTGTATTTTTGCTGGAGAGGGAAGGGGATAGAAAGGTTTCTTTGCCCAGCGGAGATGCCCTCACCCCAACCCTATTGGCCAAATTCAGATTCAGATGAACTTCCTTAAAAACCACATCAGAGAGAGAAATGGGCACATTTAAATGGCTTCTGAAAATAGATTGAAATGACCCCAAATGGCTTGATAAGGAGCAAGATCCCACTGTCTCTTACTGTGGCTTTGGGTTCCACACAGGTGGTTCAGCCTAAGCGGAGTGTCCAGATGTAAGGAGCAGAGATGCTTCACAAAGGAAAATGGAGAGGAGTCTAGATTGTCCTGCTACTCTCCACACAGACTCCCCACCTCGGTCCACATTCCTGAGGAAGTCATGTCGTGTTTGGTTTTGTCTGGATGTGCTTGACAACCCAGTCTCCCACTACTCCTGCTCAGAGATGAAGGCAGAGAGGGCCTTGTCTTGATTCCCTTGGAGACAGAGCGAGAAGCCACAGAAAAAAAGCAGAACACTCCCCAGCATCATGTTAACTGAGATTGACTTGTATATGAAACCTAGTTTTTCCAGTTTCAGAAAATAAACTACTCTGAGGGTAGCACATGAGGAATTTCACACCTACTCTTGACGGGGTAGCCAACATTGGACCTAAAAAGATACATCTCTTAGGTACAGTCATTGATAAATTAAGAAAGGTCTGTGAGTATGTCTGCATGTGGATGGAGGGTCATTATGGGTGTGGAGTGAGGGTCTTGGTAAGTTGTGTGCTCTGTGCAATCAGTGTCTGGGTGAATGTGAGGGGAGAAGGGGGAGGTGTGTCTATTGTGTTGTGTGTTTGTGGCTATTCCCCAGTTCCTTTGACCAGAGGAGACCCTTCTAATAATTGGGTACAGCAGACCTGTGAAAGACTAATGGCCAGAGTAAAACGGATGCATTAAGGTGCCCTTTGAACTTGGCCCGCCAGCCTCAGTCTCCCTAGGAAGGTCTCAGCTAGAGCAGAGCCCTCTGAGTCCAGCACACGGCACAGTCAGCTAGAGTGTTCTGTAGAGCCAAGGTGTGCAGACCCCACCCTGAGTCCTCCAGGGAATTTCTGGGAGCCTATAGGGAGAGCAGAACAAATCCCTGGTGCTGATCTGAGTCTGCAAGTATCCCAGTTAGCCTAGGAGCCTGCATTCTTTGCCAGTGCCCGTCCCCACCCCCTCTCCACAGCCTGGATGCCCACCTATTGTCTGTGTGCCTGAAGAGACCCATGCAGAGAAAGACATGGCCTGAATGGTGCTCTCTGGAGGCAGCTCTTGGACAGATCTTTATAATTTGGGGTCCAAAGTACATTTTAGCGGTAAAGCACTCTCTTGAAATAGTCAGGAAATTAAATAAAAAGCATAATTTTTTCTTTGTTTCAATTACCAGGTTAATTTGCTTTGAAGATACAGACAAAAGCTGCATTTGGGGGAGGGTGGATTCAGATCTTTATTTCTGACTTATAAAAGCTTCACAATTATGGGCATATCATACTTTTTTGCTATAGAATATTTGCGTTGTCTATAGGAAAGTGAAAAAAGCAAGAATTGACAGAAAAAATGCTGAGGCTGTGCAAATATATATATATATATAAATATATATATATATTCATATGGGCAGAAAATGTCAGAGGGTGTGGAGAAATGATCTGGAGGATTCTGTCCCTAAGGATAACATCCTTCTTCCCCACAAGAGTGGTTTTTCCTCCCATGGTGGTCAGCTTGAGAATTCCTCAGGCCTGGCTAAGCACTGCCTCTGGTGCCTGCTCCCAGTTCTGGCCTGGAGCCCACACACCACTCCCTGGCCCGAGAGCCCCAGGGTGTTAGGAGCTGGGAACAAGGTGACAGAGATGGTAGAGGATCGGCTGGTTCATCCAGATCTAGCCCTTTCCAAGGACCCTTGGCCATCAGCAAATGGCCTCCTTCAGGGGCATAAGCATGCATGTGCCAGGGTGCTGCACATGCGTGCACGCGCACACACACACATACACATACACACACACACACACACACACACACACACACACACACACACACACTCAGACCTCTCAACTCAGACCAGTGCACTGATAAATCCACGAATCCTCCCAGCAGTGCCACCTCCTAAGGTGAACAGCTGCCCGTCCTGGCTCTCACCCCACTCACAGTTAAGCTCCCCAGTTTCCCAGTTGCCACAACTCACACTCTTCTTCCTCACCTCTGCCACCTCAGTACAGGCATCTCTGTTCCCTTCCCCAACCAGCCGCTAAACCCAAGGTCAGCTGGCCTCACCACTGCCCTCAAAAGCCTGAGAGAAGGGGAAAGAGCTTCTGGATCCCCCATGCCTTTCCCCTCTATCACAGAACTGGAAGCAGGTGGCTTTTCGTTCCCAAACCTCCTTGCTCCATTCCCGTTCTCACTGACTCTGAAAGCTGGGGAGCTGGGAAGTGGAATGGAGAGGGAGAGAGAGGAGAAATGCAGGCCATGCAGGGTCAGCTGTCCCCTCCCTCCACCACCAAAAAAACAAATAACAAATAAATACCCCACAAGCCGAAGGTGGCCACCTACGATGACACCAGAAACAAGCGAGGCTGCTTCTCCTGAGATGCCTGGTTCCTGTCAGGGAGGAGAACACAAAGGTTAAGATCCTTGAGTGGCTTCCACCCTCGTTCCCTCCTGGTTCCCAGTCTCCCAACCAACCCCCTTTCCTCTGAGGCCCAGACAGGGTGGGCTCCCTCTGCAATCACCAAGCTTGAGTCCGCACAGTGGGAGGGACGACGGAAGAAAGACTGGCCGGAGGAAAGCCTGGCCGTGAGGGAGGCGGGCTCTTTCCCGGGCCTCTGGGCTCCAACCCAGCCTTGTCCTTACAGCCTCTCTCACCTCCCTCCTAAACCCGTGGGCTCAGGGGTGTGAGGTGAGCCTGGAGATCCCTCCTTTAAATTCAGGGAAGTAGTCCCCTGCCCCGTGGACACTGCCTTCTCCCAGATTCCTGCTACTCATGGTTAGGAGAGAATGAAGGGGCTAGAGTTAGGGGTGTCGTTCTGTCTGTCTAGGTCCAACTGAAAACTGCAAAGTGTTGTGCACATTTAGCTATATTCCCAGTCATGCTATCACTTAGCTGTCTCCACTCATCTCTGTCATGTCCTATCTACCCATCGCCCAAGTGTCTCTCAGGATCCAGAAAGACATATCCCGCAGCTACCGGCTTTCTCTCTCTCTTTTTCACATACACAAAAGGGGTGAAATACTTATTTTTAATTATTATCTTAATGTTGGGCATGGAATTCAGCCTCAATACTTCATAGTCTTACCTTCCCAATATTTTGCTTGCAGGTTAAATTATGGTTTAGGGGAATGGCATGTGTATAGCACAGGCGACCCAGCTCCCGAAATACTAAGAGGAGTGTGTGTGTGTGTGTGTGTGTGTGTGTGTGTGTGTGTGTGTGTGTGTGGCGTGTGAGTTGAGGTAAGTTGGTGAATTCTTTTATCTCAAACTCAATTCCACAACTAATTCTTCTTTCAAAAGTCAGGAATCCAGTCTACCTAAATGCAGGATAAATCAGAAAGAAGGGGTGGACTGGGAGCAGGAATGAGCCTTCCATCCATACCTGATTTCTGGGAGGGGTGCTTTGAAGGCCCCTTCCTGCTTCAGCAATCACAAATACTCACTTGCCTCCTGGCCTCAGCTCTGCCAGCCCAGCCATCTCATAAAGGTATGTCTCACTGAAACTGTTCTCTTTATATGAAACAAGGGGCAACACTCATCCCACAACCATTTGCTGACATACCAGAAAACAGGCACAAGGACAGGTGGGGAGCTTCTGGCTCCTCTTTCCACTCTGAGAGTACTGGGTCCCTGGGAGGCTGTACTCCTCACTGATCTCTGCCCTGCCACCAGGCACACACAATGCCCAGGAGAATATGGTGATGAGGAAACACAGCCCAGCAGGCTCGGAACATGTGTGTGCATGTATGATGGCCAGTACCCTCCGCCTCTCCCAGAATCTGGCCTCTGGGGTCCCAGGAATAGCCAGCTCTGTTTCAGCCTCTACTACCCACCATGGTCTCATCCTATCTCTTGGTGCGGGCGAGGGACTTGGGGTAGGAATAGTGCTTTCTTTCCATGTCCCCAGCCCTCCTTAACACACACACACACACACACACACACACACACACACACACACACACACACACACCCTCCCTCTGTTCCCTGGGTCTGAAGAGGGCTGGAGCAGGGTTCTCTCCCTCTGGAATCTCAGCACCCTCCCCAACATCTCACTTGTCCTAAGCTCCCCTCAGCCCCGTTCCCACCTGCCAATTCATAGGAAAAGGACCAGAAGTGGGGAATGAAATCAATAGAAATCCTATCAAATGTTTTTGGGTTTTTCCCCATTCTGGTCTCCACCTTTCTGGAAATCTGGCGCCTTTCTCCCAGCACCCCAAGTCCCTCAGACTTTGTCCTCCCCTGAAACCTGAAGTCTCTAGGGCAAAAAGGAGCAAGAGCCAGAGCGAGGATAGGTCAGGAGTCCAGACACAGAACCATTTTCCCTGTCCCTCCCATCTCCGCTACAATTTCCCTTCCTGCCTCTCCTCTGGTGCAAGCATTAAGATGTTGGCCATGTCTGATGGAGAGAAGGGAGGGGCGGATTAATAGGATCAGTAGCACCGTGACCCTAAAGCCACCCCCCCCATCCCATTGACAAACTTAGTGAGCTGTGTCCAGCCGGCATGGGCCAGGAGAAGGAGGGGGACCAGGAGGCACTCTCAGGCGGCCGGGCAGAGCCACTGCCTTCAGCTCAGGGAGAGATGCCCTGCAAGCAGGAGGGGTGAGCCCACCCACCTCCTCCTCCTCCACACACATGCCTCTTCCATTTTGGGGACCCTCTGAATCTTTGATCAGCCTTTCCTTTCTGTGATGATTGCACCAGCCTCCATTAGCCAGTAGGCAAAGTAGGAGGGTTAGGGCGCCCTGCCTGAATTTAGGGGATCCCTTCCCATCCCCAGCCCAGATGTCAGAGGGGGCTGGGGCCCTCCCTGGACCCGGATGGCCACTCACCGGCTTCTGTGAGAGGGAGAGACCGCTTGGTGGCCCCTGCGGCTGGACTGCCTCTTCCCCAGCTCCTGGCCTCTTGTGGAGTGGAGGATGCGGCTCCGATGACGTAGCATCTGTCTATCCATTCAGGAATTTTGCTCGCCTCTCTCTTTCTTTCTCTTGCTGCTCTCCCTGGAAAGGCAGCGAAAGGGGGTGCTGCCCCTATCTGGAGACACACCACCACCTGAATAACAGCTCTGACGAGTCCCTCCTTCTTCCTCCCAGTGCCAGTGTGGGCAGGGTCTTTGTCACCTCCACTCTGTCTCCTACCTCCCCTGCTGCCTTTTCTAACCTGAGGCTGGAGGAAGGGGCTGGGGGAAGCTATTGTTCCTCCAGGCCACCCTTGTCCCCAGAGGAAGCAAGAGAAAAGATGGGGCAGAAATAGCCGGTCCCCAGTCTCTGAGTTTTAATTCACTTTTGAACTTGAGAGCCACGAACGATGTGTGTCTGGGGTGAGGAGCAGGGCCGATAAGGAGTCATAGAAAGAGGACACTCACCATTTGCCATTCGAAGGCTGGGGTGTTCCAGGTCTCCCCCCACCCTATCCCTGCCTGCTAAACTAATCTCAAATCCGGATCTTGATTGTGAGGGAGAAAGTGACAATTGGAAGATGAACGCAGCACTGGAGGGGAGAGCAGATTGGGGGGAGCCGAAGGCAGCCCTTGGCAGTCTAGACAGGCGGAGAGGAGGGGTGGGACCGCAGAGTCAAAGTGGGAGATGAATTATTTTTTTCTCAGAGGAGGGAGAGCAGTTCAGGGGGTTGGTTTCCAGGGCCCGGGTTCCGATATTTGGTGGAAGCTGGGGCCCAGAATGGTACAATGGTCGGGTCTCTTTTCTCTCTCACCCCCACTCTCAGCCCCTCCCTTTTTCCCCCTCCCGCTCTTCCTGGCCTGCATGGGAACTCGGTCTGAGCTCGACGTGACAGACAGCAGGCCTGCATGCTAATGAAGTTTTCCTCAAGTTCATTGTCAAAGCCCCCCCTTCCCCACGGCCCCCTCCCCTCCTCTCTCATACACAAATCTCCCTCCAACTTTTGTCCCACAGACCTGGAGGCCACTTGAGTCTGCCGGCTCCCCTCTCTCACCCTCCCCCACTGCTTTCAGTCTCCCTTCTCCTCACCTCCTCCCTCGACTGGGGGTGAGGGTGGGGGGGTCTTTTCTCCCTGGTGCCTTCTCAGCCACCTTCTGGCCCCCGCGATCCCTAAGCTCCGAATGAGGGATTCTGAGGGCGAAGGTCAGGGTCGATGGCCCGGGTCCTTCTTCGCCCATCTCAAAGCAGGGAGACTTTAGAGGGGCGAGAGGAGGCTTCAGATCACCCCACTCAATGTTCCCTGCCCTCCAATTCTCAACCCTGCTCTGGCCTAGTCTCCCCATTCCAGCCTCAGCTTCCCCTCCCCCCATTCCTCCCATTACGATTATTTTGCTCTCCCCTTGATTACATCTGCTTCACTAGCTCAGAAATAAAGATCCTTTGAGACTAATTTTGCACCCCCCAGCTCCCCACCCTCTCCCTCCCCCTTTCCACTAGACCAGGGCTCCCGTTAGCTCCTTTCTCACCGGCTGGAAGACATTGAGTTCCTTGTCTAGGGAGCTGGGGGGTTGGTGGGAGGGGGTGCCCATGGAATGAGGGGGGGGTCTCTCCAACTCTGGGACGTGTCCAGCAATCCAAACCTGTCCTTCTTTTGTTCCTACAAATCTCTTCATACTGTCACCACCCTCTGGAGTCTGCCTTTCTCCCAGTTACCAGGAGATGGGAGGAAGGGGAGGAGGACCCTGAACTCACCCCACCCCTCAATTCCAGAGAAAGGAGGGAGGGGGAGAAAAAATGTAAACCCCCCCTCATTAGCCAGAAAGGAAGCGAAAGGGGATAATTATAATTAAAAGCAGACAGCTGTGGATTGCATCTTTTATGTTCCTCCAAGCTTCCTCCCCACTCCTGCCACCATCACCCAAAAATCTGCACAACCTCCTGTGCATCTCTCCCTGGCTCCCTTCATGAGTGGAGGGTATGCTCGGAGGCCAAGGCGTGGGGGGCAGATTTGGGGCAGGAACCCCACTTCCTCTCCCCCAGACAGCATCTCTGAAACACCACGTTAGGCCTAGGAGATGGGGGCTTCCTGGTCCTGTCCCCCAAAGTGTGGGCCCTTAGGAGATGACGGCATTTAGGTACCAATAACCAGTTCAATAATGTGGGAAATCTGATTTTCCTAAAAATAGCCCTCACATTCACCATTAAATTAATATAAGAATGAAATAAAACCTCGACGATTTTCTTGTTCAGGTAGCCCTCTCCTCCCTGGGAGTTGCCTCTAAACACAGGAGCAGAGCTGGGATCCGAAGGAAGTGAGTTCGAACAAAGAGAGTCTCCCAGGTTCAGAGTACACACAAAATGCACACATGTACACACATATATTTCGTGATTGGGAGGGTGGCGTTGCTAGGCCTAGCTGTGCTGCCCTACGTATTTATAGAACTTGATCGTAGGCCAGAACAGCAGGGTAATTATAGCATTATTAGCATATATGCAAATCAGGTAACCTATATACGCTGAATGGAAGCAGATTATTATTTATTTCTCTCCCCCTTTCTCCTTCCCTGGTATCAGCTCTGGCTCCTCAGAGCTGCACACCAGCAATTATCTGACATTATAAGAGGGGGTTGTAGCCCTCGAGGAGGGGGCTGAAGGGAGGAGGACAGGAAAAAACCCAGGGGCGGGAGGATTTTATCTCATTTTACTCAATGTTATTCTGGGAAGAGTGGGGCGGAGCTCAGTGAGAAGCCTTTGAATTAACAAAGACTAATTGGGGGGGGCAGAAGGGGAGAGACAGAGACCTGAAAACAGAGACAGCCTAAGCCAAAAAGCTTCAAAGCAATGGCAGAGAGTGGGGGAGCCCGAGACACAAGCACACAGAGTGAGGCACCAAGAATCCCGATATGGCAAGAGAAAGGGATCCGTTTATCTGGAAAGGGTGGGACGGGCTCTCCTGGCTCTCTTGACTTGGGGACAGCACAGGGACCCAGGACTTCCCCACCCCCTGTGGCTTGGAGGCTGAGTCTGGGTCTTGATCAGTCTGGGTCTTAATCCAGAGCCCATTCCACATTATTAAACCCTTTTCCCTCTTTCCGCCACCTGGTAAATGGTCACGGAACCCCATATTCATTAATTCCAACTAACGCACGGTGGGCACTGACCATGCTGGCAAGGTCCAACTCTGGACTCACCCTTCTCCCACCAGGGTCGAGCCAGGAGCCCCTCCTCTAACCTCCAGTCTCATGCTGCCTCCCGCAGGGCAGGTTCCGTCCAGGGCTCTCCAGCCAGATCTCCACAGGGTGCCTCGGTCTCCAAGGAGCCTCTTCGCTGCCTCCCTCCTCACATTCAATCCCTCCTTACTGGTTATTTATACCAGACCCACGGTTAGGAAGTGGAATCCTCAATTTATGTTGTTTTTCCTCCCCATGGCTCCAGGGTCTCGCCCGACTGGCTCGGATACCTCTTTGCCACCTGCGTGTGCTCTGCCGGCTCTTAGCACCCACAGAGCAGGGACTGGGATTCCAAAGCTTCACCATCTCCTTCCCTCCACACCACTCAGAAGAGGCTTCTAATACGCAGGTGGACCAAGGGAGTACTTCTGTTTGACCTGAAAACAAACCCTTGTTATGTTTCTAGAAATGCCCGCATCTCTGTTTCATGTCTGTCTCCAAGTCCCTGCTTGCCATGTGGCTATTCAGCTATCTCTGTCTCAAAAAAGCTTTTGCCTCCCTGAGGCAAACGCCAAAGAAGGCAATATCAGGGAGAGGTAGGATTGTCGAAACTGTGATAGGGTCCGAGGACCTTGAGTGGCATCATGAAGAAGAAGGGTCCCTGAAAGAAATGGATACAGAGACAAATGCTCTAAGAGGCCGCAGCCAAAAGACCAAAAGAAAACAAAACTTCAGGGTTGTACTTATGCAAAAATGAAAACGTGCAGTCATGTATATGTATCCAGAGAAGCAAGGTGAATGGGTTTTATCACCAACGATCTCTGCATCTATGATATGCTTGTGTATTTACATTTGCTCCTGGATCTGGCCACTTCTTGCTCTGTGTAGCCGTGTAGCACATAATAGTAAAAGAGCTGGAAAGGCAGGGAGAGAAAGACAAATGGAGCAGAGGGAGAACCCGAGAGGGGCAGAGACAGAGAGCGGGGCCACCAAGATCCGCAAGAGTGAAAGAGAAAGGCATTGGGAGGCACCAGAAACCCAATCAAATATCGGGCAGATGTGCAGACTGACAGTTAGCCCCCGGGGTCCGAGCCTTCCATTCACATTAGAGACCTGGGATAGGGCCCTCCCTCCTGCCAGTTTCTCCCCCCAGGCTTAGCCTAGAAATTGATGAGTAGATTTGCAACTTCACCAGGCCCATTTCTCTGCAGATATCACGGATGGTGTAATAATCTGGAGTCATTTGGACATGGATGGGCCCCTCCGGGGTGCCCCCATAGAGCCCTATCTCTACTCCTGGCATTCTAGGATGGGGACTCACCCAGCACTTTCCTACAATAATTAAACTCCAAACCTATGGAGGTCTGTGTGCGCACATAAATAGCTCCTAACCTCATCTTTTCTCCTATGAAATTCATCTCCCTGGCAATCCAATTGGACATCTGTAACCACATATTGTCTGCCTCTTGCCAGGCTTGGTGGTCGGGACCTGTCTGTGTGAGCCACAAACAGGCCTGTGTTTCTATCCAGTGTGTGTGTGCACACTGATAGCGGCCTGCAGACAGGTTCCATCATCAGCCAGCTAGGTGTGGTCATCACTTTCACCACTGCTGTGGCTGAGAGCACCTTCCAGACCTTCTGGGGATGTAGTCCAGATAGACTTTTTTTTTTTTTGAGTGGGAATCTCACTCTGTTGCCCAGGCTGGAGTGCACTGGCACATTCATGGTCACCGCAGCCTTGACCTGCTGGGCTCAGATGAACCTTCCACCTCAGCCTTCCAAGTAGCTGGGACTACAGGCGTGCCACCATGTCCAGCTTTTTTTTT